CTAACGTTTTAATTAAAAAAACAAAGAAAAATCAATTTTTAAAATGAATACGTATTTGTACGTATTTCACTATTCTTTTATATCCTTTTATATTGGCAATTTTTCTCAAATTAAACTCAAATTCTCCTCCTTATCTTCAAATTCTCCAAATTCTTCAATCATGTTCTGTATTCGACAAACAAATTATTCATTAGAGGATAAATTTCCAATTATTTTGAGCAGTTTCATTGTCGTTTTTTTATTTACAGCTAACAACAAAATTTTATCAAATGCGATTCTTTCCTTTAGCCTTTTTATCCTTGCTCGAATATCGATCCTCCGTTGTCCTCGTTTTTAAATTATATTTTCCCTAACCAAAGAAAAGATATATGGAAACTACCGCCACGAATCAAATACTTGAAAAGCCGAGGTAATCAAACAAACGACAAGCAAGAACTGCAGTGCACTACGAAATCTCCAACACCATTGAACATGGACCATAAATTAGAGGATAAAAATTATCACGAATTTTGCTCGTCCCCAAAGCGAACCGAAACTGACCAAGATGATAAAGTAGTATCTCCAAGCAACGATGCAACTCTTGTTCCACACTGTTCCGAGATAAGCTGCGAATTAGACGTAAAAGTGGAAAATTCGGTATGCTCCTCTCCTAGCTCGAACGTAAACATTTATTCGGACTCGTACACGTTCGCCGCGTGTACCGCGAATGTGCCGCGAAATGGCGACTCCCCCCCCCAAGTGTCTTCGTCTGAAGGTGTGGACGACGAACCGGTCGGTAAGCAATCCGCAACGAAATCTACGCAAACGAAAATAACCAATATGAGGCGAAACTCGAACGACTCTTATTTCAAACAGTCGAATCTTTGCTTCTCTAAAATAAAGAATGCCGTGATCACGAAAAAAATTGTAAAAAATTCCAACGAGAGCACGTTCACGATATGCGGGGAGGTGAGCGATATGAAGCATTATCCATGCCCGAAGAAAAATTGTAATAAATACTCGTTCAAGAAAAAACAGAATAGCTTTACCCAATGGAACGATCAAAAAACGAGCGAACAAGATATTCCTCCGGTCAAAACTCAACTTAAAGAGATGAAGGATAGTTTGTCCGGTACGAACAACAAGACTATGTATACATGCCAGAATATTTTGCCCATAAAAGATTCAGATTCGTCGCCTTCTTTGGTTTCATTGGATTTGGAAGTGAATATTTCGAACATTTCCACCAACATCGAAGATTGTTCGGAACGTCGGAAACCAAGGACCTATGTAATACGCCAAATAAGTCAAAAAAGTAACGAAAGTAATTGGCTTAATGATTTGGAAAGGATTACTTATGCGGGGCCATCTTCCGATTTGAGCCTTTCTTGCTGTAGTTTCAAGAATCACAATGTTCATTTTGATTAAAAAGGATATCTAATCACACGCTTTTTATATTCATTTCTATCTATACAGGGAAATTTAATAATTTCTTCTAATTTTATCATATCATATATATATATATATATTATTTTAATTTATTCGATAATGATACGAATGATAAAGTTCGATCGATTTTAATTCCAAGTAAAAAAGATCACATTTATTATTAAAAAAATGCAATAGAAAGAATGTGCAATACTGTTACAATTCTTTATACTTTCAAATCATTACAATAATATTAAAACTTTTTTTTTTTTTTTTTTTTTCTTTTTTGGACATTAAAAAAAAAAAAGTTTTAATTTTTTTGAAATGTTTTGAAAGAAAAAAGAATTGAAAAAGATTTGACCATTTTTTTTTTTGCTTTTTTTAAAAAAAAGCAAAAAAAAAAATGGTCAAATCTTTTTCAATTCTTTTTTCTTTCAAAACATTTCAAAAAAATTAAAACTTTTTTTTTTTTTTTTTTTTTCATTATTGCACATTGAATAAACGATCGTCATTACACGTATCAATGTATCAAAGATGAAATCGGACCACATATACTGTTCCCTCTCTTTTACATAATTTGAGAATTTTTTTTGGCAACAGCAAGTCATCGAATTCGCGGCGGGGTACGGTCGTGAAAAATAATTTTCCATGCCGCCACGAACGTCTTAAACACCCCTTCGTTAGAATTGTTCTTCTTGAAATTGTGCACCGAATAACGATTATAAAGTCCCCAGATGCTGTTCATTAATTTACTGTTATATTTTAACGGCGTAAGTTCCCAACCTGTGAAAAAAAAAATGAATTATTTATCAAAATTCACAAAATTTTTACTTGTTAAATTCATAGTTTTATACATATTTTTAACTACATTATTTTCACATAATTTTGAATTTTTATCATCGAGTTTGTTGAACGAAGTCATATTTTATATTCGTTTTAAATTATTTAACGAGGCAAACAAAGTTAAACTTATCGAATATTTTATATTATAGATATTAAATAAGCGGTAAAAATAGCTATTTTTTTTTCATAATTCAAAAATTTATTTAAATAGTCTTTTAGAAAAATAAACAAACAAACGTAGCAAAAATATTTAACTGGAATGGATACTAGAAATACACGATATTTCTTATATATATATATATATACATTATTATTTATTTTAATGTCAATATATGATATGATCTAAAAATATTCGCGAAGCGACATTCCAGTATATTCTAAAAACAGGATACGTCATCGATAAGTCTGATAAGTACCTTCCAATGGGGGTCTCATGTTGAACGTATTTTCTTTACACGATTTTTCTTTCTTCTCCATCCGTGATATCATAGCATTGCGTTCTCGATTGCGACGGACTTTGCACGCCGCAAACGCGCCTTGCGGAATAGATGCCATTCTCTTACAATCTGCAATAAAAAACGAAAAGGCAATATTTCAAGTTTAAATCGATTTCTGGAATAAAAAAAAAATAATAAAATGTTGATCGCTTTTAAAAATAATTTACATACATATGTATAAAACGTCTAAAAGATTTAATATTAAAAACAAACCTTCGCAAGTTTCAAAGAGCAGTTTTGCCAATTTTCTTTTAACGTTTATCACCGTTGCTCTTTCCTCGCAAATCCTAATTTTGGGATTATGCTGATTTTTCCACCACGATTTTCGATTTTGTTTTAATATTACAAACTTCATACAGCCGCGACGAACACTCTTCAAATCAATCATCGACCGATCGATAAAAATGAAAAAAAGATATTTTAAAAAGTAAAAAACTAAAGTGCTTTCCTTTTTTTTTTTTTTTTTTTTTATCTTACAGATTCTTATTGTCACAGACGAGCCAAAAGATTTATATAAAATTTATATAAAAAAAAAAATTAATAATAAAAGTAGCGAAAGGAAGAAAGCAGCTCGACTCTGTCACTTCGTTAGGAATCAACGTCGTAATAACATGGGAGTAATAATTTCGTTTCGATTTATGAACTTGTTTTGCAAACAAGTGGGGAGAGATAGATTGGACGAGAAACAAAATAGGAAAAGAAAATTTACGTCTTTGTAATGAGATATCGGCTGCCTTTCGAGATTTTTAATGATCTCGACCACCACGATTCTTTTATCTCTGAAGACCTCTCGGATTTAAAATGCGTAAGTACTCCAATCGCGTGACCTATATATATATATATGTATCATATATATGTGTATGAAATAACGCAATAATTCTTGTACTTTACAATCTTGAATTTTATTATAATTTTGAATTTATTTTCATTTTATTTTTCGAACAATGCAAAGGAAAATATTACTTTCATCTAATAAGATGATGGATATTTTTATTTAATAAAAAGAAAAAAAAAATTGTATAAAAATAGCATCATATTAGACATATAAATATTTTATTCGATATAAATGGAAAATTATGAAACATTTTTTATATTTAAGTAAAATTATGATAATTTAATATAAAAGTGTAATAAAAATTTATAGCATTTCGATAATATATATATATATTTGAAAATTTATATTATATATTCCATACCGATACGTATATTAATATTTCTCATAATCATGCCTCCAAACAGGTTTTCTTTTTTCAATAAAACTATTGATTCCTTCTTGAGCATCTTTCATTTTTAAATTATTAATCATTTTTTTGGTTCCTAAAAAATATGCAGTCGATATATCAAGTTCCAATTGTTCGTACAAAAATGTTTTTCCACCATGTATAATCGATCGACTCTTCATATTTATAGCTGTAGTAATTTTTTCAATTTCTTCTTCTAAAAAATGAAATAAAATAAAATTTTATATGTATCTGTAATATTATCTTATTTAATTATTCCAATGAATTTACCAATTTTATCATGAGGCACAACTTTGCTTACAAGACCTGTTTCATACGCTTCTTTACCATTAATGCTGAAACCTGTGAAGAGCATGTACGTTGCTACTTTTTTGGACACGTTCCGAATCAAGGGAATACCTGGTGTAGAACAAAATATTCCAAAATTGGCTCTAAAAATTAATAATAAATAAATATTATTTAAATTATATTAAATGAATCAATGGTAATGTAATTATTGTAATTATTGTAATGTAATTATATATTTATATTAAAGAAAAAAAGATAAATATACCCTGGTGTAGAAAATGAACTTCTTTCGGTACAAATAGCAATGTCACATGATGTAACTAATTGACAACCAGCTGCAGTTGCTACACCATCTACAGCAGCAATTATTGGGACAGGACTTTTAGTAATTGCTTGCATCAATTGTGAGCACGTTTCAAAGATTTCCTTGTGAAGCTTCCCATTGTTATTAGTCTAAACGACGCAAGGTAATCATTTATCTGTGTGACGAACGTAAATTTTTATATTAAAAGACCCGCATTACTTTTATTTTTTAGTCCATCTACAAACCAGTTCTTTTATATTATGTCCAGCAGAAAATATTTTTTCCAATCCAGATTTAATAACTATCGTTCGAAGATTTTTATTATTTTCGTCGTGTATTATGTTCTTCCATAAAGATTTTAACATTTTTAAAGATAAAGAATTACGAGAAGGAAGATGATTCAATATCAATGTACGCACCTAATTATAAAAATGATTTAGTAAATGTATTAAAAAATGTATATATATAATTTTGTAAAAAAAAATATTTTATTTCTAATTGTAAATTTAATAGTGAATAAGAAATAGGAAATTTATTGGTACTAGCTTTGTATATGTAATATATCTTCTTACTCCATTTTCTTCTTTGACATCTAAATATTTTTCTTCTGACAATGACATTCTACTTGTAGAAAATGTTCTTGGAACATATCTTCCCACCTAAAAATATCGATATATCATTCATATAGAATTGAGGAAATTATTAATTTGAAATTATTATTTCGTATTTCCCGCCATGCCATTTGTGAAACTTTATAGATCTTGATATCAATATTACTTATATTATTATTTATATATATTTATATTTTTTTGTATATGCATATGTATAAATCGAAATATAGAATTTATTAAATTAAATTTTTTATTAATAAAATAATATATTTAAAAATATTATTTATTATAATAACAAATTATATAACCTCCATTTGTACATATGTATAATTTAATATAAAAATTTACCTGAGAATAAATAAAAATATTTCTGTCCATTAATCGTAACATTTTATAATAATTTTTTTATATTAATTTTTTTAAAGTAATAATATTAATTTTTCGTTATTTTTAAATCTTTCACAGCACAATTAATATCAATAATTGATATCAGTAATAGTAAAATACAGACACTTATGTACCAGATTGCCATAAATAAACCACGAATATAGATAATGAGAGAAAATAATAGGAGAAGGATAAAGATAGAATAAAAGTCCAGGAATTAACGCCATCTTCAGAATACCATAAATAAAATACCACACAGAAAATAATAGAAGAAAGATAGAAATAAAATAAGAATTGGCCATTATCGCCATCTTTTTAATATTAAAAAAATCTTATTAATTATCTTTTCAAAAATATTTAAGAGATGACACTAATCTTTAATTCTTATTCTATTTTAATCTATTTCTGAAAAAGTATCTTTGACATTCAAGAGATGGCAGTAAGAGTTAATTATTATATTATCTTTCTCTTTGTTCTATTATTCGCTTTCCTTATTTATATTTGTATTTCATTATTTATATTTACTCAAGAGATGGCGTAGATTTCATAATTTTTAGTTTATTTTCATCTTTTTTCCACTATTTATTTTCATTATATAAATTCATATGCTCTGAAGATAGTGCCGATTTCTGACTTAACTTTATAATATCGTTGTCCAACTTACTCATTATAAATCTTAACAGAATCTATATATATAAATTTTTATATTTCTAATTTTTTTTCTAATTTTTATATTAAATTTTATTTTAATGAAAAAATCTGAATTTTAAATTTTAATTTTTTAATTATTTCAAATTCAAATTTAGATTTAAAAAGAAAAGTTTTAAATATTTAAATTATTTTTATCTAAATATTTTCTATTTCGTTTTTTCAAATCATTATCTCAGAAAAATTATCTTCAATGTCTCTACTATGCATAATCAGAATTAAAATTATAAAAATTCCAAAAATAGAATACAATATTTGAATTCTATCAATATTAAATATTGCCGTAAATAACATATATATAAATTCAATCATTTGGATAATTATTTGAAAATTAATTCAATGAAATAATAAATACATATGAAAAAGTTTTAAAAAATAAATTAAAAGAATTTTATTTTACTTATTTTACAAATTCTATAATAAGTAAATTTATATAATAAATAGATCGATAATCATATGAAGCAGGGGGCAATGTCACATAATTTGATCAAACCTCCGAACTCTCCAACAGTAGGATAACCTGTCATCGGTTACCATAGTGATCATTGTTTCCCCTAACAACTAACATGGCGGAGGTTGAGGGTAAGTTTGCATATGTCAAACAGTCTCTGTTAGTATTTATAAAACTACGGTAGTTCGTCTAACACAAATAACGCGTCGAGAGATCCTAGTGATTGCCGCGTGAATTTTTCTCGTGCTATACTTCCGTCCAGTTCCAGTTTCACGGCCGGGACCGTTTTCTAATAATATATACGAGAACCACGCGGACGTGAAGGTGTTCAGACACATAAACGGAAAAGAGAAGAGCTAGCGATGGATCCGAATTAATATTTCTGATCTCCGATCGCATAGATCGGTTTTTTCACATGAAAAATTAAATAAGTGACAAGAGGTAAGATGATATTTTTAATTGTGCGCAAACTCGAATCGATATCTGGTGAATCGATAATCGATATGTGGTCTCGCTACAAGTACGATCGAACGTAATATATAATGGAGTATTTATGAGATGAAAAATAAATATAAAATATTTTATTTACCCATACATTTTTCGATTTATTTTGTTCAAATTGTATAAAATTGTTTAATGGATTGAATTTTATTTGATGATTTATTTATTTATTTAAATTTCAAAATAATTTTATTGACTGTTCCGTTGAAAATTAATTTTACCGCTTTTATGTACTGAGTATACTCGGTTGATAATGTAAAATACTTTACGATCATATTTATTATTATGAAAGTAATTTTTGTTTGTTATATAACTACTAATATAGCTAATAATTATAATCGTTTTTATTTACAATCAGATATACGGTATAATTACTGATGATTTATATGATATATTATTATTTAATTATTATTACATTGAATTTAACGTATTCTTTACAGTATTGATCAAATATCTGTGACGAAACGCACACACAACATCGACTCATTAAATCATTATGCTTATTCATGATCTACATCGTGGTTTATCGGTAATTATAATCTTTATCGGAAACAGAACTCGTAAAATAATATTAAAAACACGAGCTTGAATCGCGTGTCGATATTTTTTTACCTTCTACTAGGTAACAATTTTTCTTTTCGTTTAAAGACTATCGAACTATCTTTATCAACCATATATTGAATAATATATTACTATTCAATTGATTCAAAATCTTTCAAATCACAGAAAATTTTTTTTTTTTTAATAAAATTTAAACATCTCATAGTCAATTCTTATTTGGATTTTTTATTATTTTTATTTTTCTTAAACAAATCTTAAACAAAGATAAAATATATTTGCTTTACTTATTCTAACCTTCTTACGTAACTATGAAGAGAGAAAAGAATCGCAAAATATTCGAGTGTCATATAAAGTGTTGGGAAAAGGTTGGGAAACACTGGTCAAGAAATTAGATTCAAGTACTTAGTTCCCTTCATCGCGCGAGAGTTTCAATCCCATCGCTATTAAAAGGAAGAAGCGAGCGCTCCTGATGCTCTCGTAGTGACACCTAAAATAAACCTCATTTAACAAGAGAAGAGAACGAGATCGTGCGTAGACGTTGCGTACAAGAACAGCCTCGTGGCGATGGAGAGGCTCAGTCGATGTGTCTCCATGCTCTTCGATGTTGTGCTGCGTTTCGAGAAGAGGTATCGCAGGGGCGGATCTAGGATCCCCCTACGATCACTGCTCATCAAAAGAGCGACCTGTCGGCTTGGAAAAAGTAGTAGAATCCGGACAATTTCGTGAACCAGGTGAGATTCGTGCGTGGAAAACTGGAAAAATATATACTTTCCGCTTTCTTGCGATCATTTTTTTCGTCTCGCTCATTTCTGATCCGTTTCTTCTCCTGGTTAACAATACCGTATATTTAATTCTTTCACGTTTACTTAATATTTCCTTTCTTGTAGAGAAAGTTAGATATTTCTACCAAGATTTTTAAGAGCGTCTTTTAAGAGCATCTTGATAATTTGATAATTATTATAAAAATTTCAATACTGATAATATCAGTGAAAAATAATACACAGACGAATCGAATTCTGAAATTATTGTATTCGCAATTTTTAAAGTTTGGTCAAATACAAGAAAGGTATTAATCGGAATGCTTTAATTAATATTTTTTTCACGCTCGATCGATTTCTTCGTAACGTACACTTCTCCTTGACTCGTGTTTACATACCAGAAAAATAATCCACTCCTGGAAATTATGCACTCTTATAAATAATGCAGAATTCATTAGAGATTCTTAAGAAATTATAATTATTTTCTTTGCTTTATTGTAACACATTTTCTCGAAGAATATTCCGTACGATAAATGTTCGAATAATGTTATCGTATTTCGTATCATAATTCTTGCGGAATTAAATCCAAAACCTTTTTTCTTCGATCCTTCGAATTCTTTCGATCGAATTCGTCCCTGAATGAAATTGTCCTTCGAAATCTTTCAAACGGCGAATTATTCAAACTTTTCCTCGAGTCGAGAAAACTCAAAGCCTTATAAATCCACAGTTACGTTACACCCCCTCAAACTCACCTTGGAAACTCGCACTATCGCGAGGCGAGGTATATATAAGAAAAAAGCGCGTTGGACGCCGCATAAGGAGTGCAAAAGGCATCCGTCGTTGGCGATAAATAACGGCGGCATCGGCATACGACGGATTACGAATCCGGGCGTGAAGGTGACATTTCGAGGAAAAAGAAGGCAAGAGTGTAACGCGTGAGCAACGTTCAGTGGTCGTGGTGGCAAGTGGTCGGGAAAGCGAGGACGGAAGGGAACGGTCGTGAGAGTAGGAACAACAATATCGGGCGCACGATGTTCAAAACACGAGCGTGTATAGCTCGCTGTTAATGTGTACACTCGTTGCGCCAAAGAAGGAAGCTTGCTCGGGCCGTGGGCGGGCAATTCTCGCGGGGGCGACACCTCGTCCTCATCCACCACCTCCTCCTCCTCATCTTCATCGCGGTGGACGCGTCGCCGTGTTAAGTGGAATTGTGCAGGTGGCCGCAAAACAAACCGATCGATCGCTTATCGATTACGAAAATATATTCACTCGCGCTCGATCCCGATCTCCATGCGCCTTCATTCCTTATCCCGCGTGACACGGCGATAGGCACGAGAGAAATTAGCTACCGTTGGCGCGATAAGAGGTTCTCGGTTTAAAATCAAAATAACGACGCGTTGTCGGTTGCGTCTCGTTGCTCGAGAGAAGAATAAAAATATATATTTCGAGGAGTTTGGTGAATCGATTTTTGATTTTTCTCGCGATATCAGCGATTTTTTCGATGATCGGAAAAGATGGAAAGTTAATAATCGTGTATAAAGGATATAATCTCTCGACGCGTTGAAACGCGCTTGATCGAATTTTCTCTTCGTTCCCCGCAGTCTGAGTCAGAAATATTATGGATGGAAGGAGGGATTGTTCTCTCGCCACGCAGCGGAATACGCATCGATGATATCGGTTCACCGATGTCGAGTGCCGCGTTTCGTTCGTTCTGACTCACTCTGCTCCGTATACGGGCGCATTTCGTGTGGATGTCGAACAGGGGGATCGCAGCAGCCGACTAATTCTTGGTAAATGGACACAGATGTGCCGCCCATCCTTCTCCCGTGCGCGATATGCGCACGGACATTTATGCCTCAGTCGTTGGAGAAGCACGCGAGGATCTGCGAGCGGTCGGCGAACAAGAAGAGGAAACCATTCGACTCGGCCAAACAGAGGATCCAAGGCACCGAGCTGGCCGAATTCTTGCCCAGGCAAGAGAAGAAGCGACGATCGCCGGAAGAGAGATCCTCCAAGTCTTGGAAGCAGACGCACGATGATTTTCTACGGGCCATTCGCGCGGCTCGCAACGAAATCGTAAGTGTTTTTAAATTAATCCCTGAACGAGTTCGTTTGTTAGAACAAATTCTCTGTGAAAAAAATTTATTATCGAAAAATGAAGTAAGAAATGGTAGATCATAACTAATCGTGGATGGAATATGTAAATAGGGGATGTAAATTGGGAAACGATTGCGCGATATTGGATCGAAATGAAAGAAGGTGAATAGAGAGGCAGCAAGAGGTGAGAATTACAGGCAGAGCGCAGATTAACCCAGATGCATCGCGAATGATGCAAGTGCATTCGTGCGTGCGATGACTTCTCTTTGCAACACCATTTTCTTAACAACTTGCTTCTTTCACTCTTTCAAATTCTCTTTATTATATTATACGTATCATACATCATCATTTAATGTATTTGATAAAATCTCTCTCTGAGATAAGAACTTATATATAAACAACTCTCGATTTCAATTTCTTCAACATCAAGTTTTTAATTTTTTTGTATCTTTTAGGTGGACTTATATGAACTTTGATCGATTCATAATTTTAATTTCTTCAACATCTCGTTCTTTTAATTTTTTCCTTTTTGTAGGTGGACTTATATGAACAACTTCGATCGATTCACGATTTCCTTTGTTCCTTTAACATCCTGTTTTTTAATTTTTTTCCTTTTGTATCTTTTAGGTGAATTTATATGAACTTTGACAGATTTATAATTTTAATTTCTTTAACATCAACGTTTTTTAATTTTTTCCTCTTGTATCTTTAGATAGACTTACATGAATTTCCACCGATTCACGATTTGAATATCTTCAACATTTTTTAATTTTTTTTCTTACAGTATCATCTACTATATCTGATAAAATCTTTTTATCCCTCTTTCTCTCTTTTTCTCTCTGATAACTTATATATAAACAACTCTTGACCGATTTCAATTTCTTCAACATAAAATTTTTAATTTTTTTTCTCTTGTATCTTTTAGAACTTATATGAACAACTTTAACTAATTCACAATTTTAATTCTTTCAACATCAATATTTTTTTTCCTTTTGTATCTTTTAAGTGAACTTATGTGAGCAACTTCAATCGATTTCAATTTTTTCAACATCAAAATTTCTTAATTTTTCTTTCCCTTTTATATTTTTTAAATAGACTTATATGAACAACTTTGACCGATTCGCGATTTCAATTCCTTCAACATCAACGTTTTTTAATTTTTTTTCCTCTTGTATTTTTAGATAAACTTACATGAACAACTTCAATCGATTCACGATTTCAATTCCTTCAACATCAACGTTTTTTAATTTTTTTTCCTCCTGTATTTTTACATAAACTTACTTGAACAACTTCAATCGATTCACGATTTCAATTCCTTCAACATCAACGTTTTTTAATTTTTTTTCCTCCTGTATTTTTACATAAACTTACTTGAACAACTTCAATCGATTCACGATTTCAATTCCTTCAACATCAACGTTTTTTAATTTTTTTTCCTCCTGTATTTTTACATAAACTTACTTGAACAACTTCAATCGATTCACGATTTCAATTCCTTCAACATCAACGTTTTTTAATTTTTTTTCCTCCTGTATTTTTACATAAACTTACTTGAACAACTTCAATCGATTCACGATTTCAATTCCTTCAACATCAACGTTTTTTAATTTTTTTTCCTCCTGTATTTTTACATAAACTTACTTGAACAACTTCAATCGATTCACGATTTCAATTCCTTCAACATCAACGTTTTTTAATTTTTTTTCCTCTTGTATTTTTAGATAAACTTACATGAACAACTTCAATCGATTCACGATTTCAATTCCTTCAACATCAACGTTTTAAAATTTTTTTTGCACGTTTCAGGTGGACTCGACCATGCAAAAGCAATGCAGCACGACGATCACATCGAGCGCGCCAACGCGGGCCAACGAGCAGGGTATGTGTCCCACGTGCAATCGTCACTTCGGCGTCAAGGCGTACGACAGGCACGTGGCCTGGTGCAAGGAGAGGATCGCCCGGGTGCCGGTCAGCCCAGCGACGAACATCGCCAAGGAACGGCTCGAAGCGCGGATGAAGTATCGGGCCCCGGCCGTGAAGAGTCGTCGGCAAGCGACCCGCGAGAAATATTCGCCGGGCTCGGCGATCACTCTCAGCGCTGGGAACAAGATGTCCCCGGGCTTGGTCCCGAACAAAGCCAAGGAGAGCGCCTCTGCACCCTCATGCAACAACAAGAGCAACAACGATAGCCCCGTTAAACAGAAAACCACTCTCGTGTAAGTTGCAACAGAATAGGGGAAAAAAATCAAAATAGCCAAAAAATAATAACAGGTGCCATAGGAAGACGCATAATTTCTAGAAGAAATTATTACAAATTTCGTCTCGAGACACCGAAATTTAAAATTAATTAATTAAAAAGAAAAATCGAAACCTTTTTTCATTAACACTCGTATTCCAATTTTTTTTTTCTTTCTCCTTTCCACAGCAGACGTTCCAATCCGATGAAGGAGTCCACTTCGACAATCCCCCCGATGAAGTCTCGATTGCCGGATCGTACGAATAGGTAAGCCGATCATCGACCGCCTTACCCATCCTACAACCGATACCGATACAAAGGAAAATAGTAATAGCTTGGCGGCGGTTAGTTTAAAACGCGTTTAGTAGCGTGCATGAGGAGAAGGAACAGGGACAAGGTTGTTTTTTTATAGAGATATTTACGCCTAAAAAAAAAAAAAAAATAGAAAGAAATGCCTGATGACCTTCTCCTGATGTCAAGGCGCACATCCTTGATCCCGTTTCCTGATCCTCAGGCAACTCGAAGACGATGCCGGACCGTCCACTTTTCGTCCTGCTCCCTCCGTTAAAAGAATCTCCCACCTCCCAGTCCCACCTTTAAAAGCGCATAAGAGAGAAAGTTTCGACGAGTGGAACAGCAACAATAACAATAACACTACCACCGTCCCCCCCCAATCGCCAAGATCGTGTAACAAGAGACGAGAAGTGACGAGAAAGTCGCACGTTAAAGCGAGGCAGGACGGTGAGCAAATGACGACCAGCGGTCAAAAAACAATGAAGCAGGAGGAGAGGCATCAACAACAAGCGTTACACTCGGCTAGGTCGTTGAAAATGAACATCGTCTCGGCGAGAAGTCAAGGAAATCCCAAAGTGAACGATGTCTCGATCAACGACGACATCGTGGGCATCACTGTGAAACCTTGCAACATATACGGGAGCAATAATCAATTGACCACTTGGAAACAGATCGCTGAAACGGATCAGACCAAGATTCTGATGAGCAGGCGGTGCGCCGAGGATCTTCTCCTCCCCCCCACGGGAGACGAGAAACGAGCGACGAGAGCGGAGAACGTTGGACAATTCTTGAACGACAACGGCGAGGACGAGGACGCGTCGAAGGAGAGGGAGGACGGGGCGAGGAAATTGAGCTCGAGAAGCGAGAGCATGAATTGGTCGTCGACCACGACAACGTTGAATCAAACGTACTCGTTCAGAGAGGCAGGGTCCAGGGTATGCGACGACCGGCCGACGGCGAGGAGCAGAAGGTG